CTTTCTGTTTAGAATTATTGCACTTTTTTATCACTATTAAAATATTACAAAACAATTGTGATGGCAAATCTGTCAAAATGACGAATATCAATTACCGAAAAACTTCGGCAAATAGACAAACTCTATGACAAACACCCCGTGCAAAAAAATCAGCTTTTTTAAATAGCTGCATCATGCATGACATTTACCACATTATAACACACTTGAACATGTTAATAAGCATAGAATGACCATTAATATGGAAGCCCAAGGCAATGTTTGAATGGCCACAACATTTCCTTGTGTGATTACAACAATAATGTTTTCCTCTTGATTTTAAGCGTATCTAAGGTTGTATTAAACATACAATGAATGCGGGACACTTATTTTAAAAACAGGACCAGCACCAGAAAGCAAAACGCAGGATATACAGATTAAAATGCAGGGTTAAAGTGTATACAACGCCACACTGAAGAAGCATAAAGATTGTTTAAATTTATGTTTTGTTAGTTTAATATGTATATTGTGAAATTTGCTGTGTATCTTTGTAATGAGGTAACAAACAAACATAAACTGATAAATAAACCACTTCAGCTAAATAGATAGTTAACAATGCACCTACTTAATAGTTTTTTTTTTGTTGACAAGTGAAACATGATTATTTTTCACACTTATGTGCATTTCAGAGCTTTAGGCACTGACATAAGCTGCAGAGCATCAGAGTAGATATTAATATTAATATAATTAATTATTACGACCATTCCAAAGATGGTAAAAACTAAAAGTTTAATTCTAGGTGTAATTCCAAAATCATTTCTGAAGAAATTTTGAACTTGCCTAAGCCATCCCAGCAGGCATACAACATCACAAGACATTAATATTAGGTTAGATTTAAGTCATGACATCAGGTGACCAAAATTCAATGTCTAGCCAGCGTCTAAGGACAACGAAATGACGTCCAATGATGACATCAAATTATGTTGATATTTGGTTGATTTTAGATTGAAAAGTGTTGGAAAGTGACCAAAATCATACATCTGATAGACGTCATAGTGGTAACGTCCACACAATGTCAAGGTGTAACAAGATTAGACGCTGATATTTGGTTAATTTTAGGTTGATTTTAGGATGGAAGTTGACACTGACGTCGGCCTGACATTGGGTTCTGATGTCAACTCGATTTTCATTTCCAAACTAAATCCAACGTCCCCATGATGTTGGGGTACGTTGGGGTACAACGTCAATATAATGTCATGTTGATGTCCTGTGCCTGCAAGGATATATCTACATATACGTATGTAGATTTCAGAGACCAGTTTAACATATTGAATCAATGATACTCAAACACTGGTCTGAGAGTATTCCAGAATCCAGAATTTGTAGACCAATAGGAAATTAATTTGGGCCAAAATGCAATATCTACCCTATTTGCATGTGGATGAAGAAGAAAAGGCTCTGTGATCATCAATCTGAGATGTGTCAAGATGCGCACTGCAATTCCACCTACAGCGCATTGTGTAAAAGACAAATGGGAACATGTAGGTTATGAACCTTTCCCAGGTGCCCTTTAAAATCCTCATGGAGACAGGTCGTCGTGTTACTGCTGAGTTATACGGCACACGCTTTTCTTCAAAGCTGCTAAATGACCTTCCCTCTCAGACTGAATACGATTGTTAACGTGTCTTTTGAGAGGCGGAAATTAACATTAAATTACAGCAATGTGAAGATCAGCAGATACTGACTAATGTGTTTAATTAAGATGCTAGAAAGAACCTTCTGTTAACTGATCAACCTTTGACATGTTATTTCCGTTGCTGTGAGTGTGAGGGAAACTTCAGAAACATAAAAATGAGTGCCAAGCAACTTTTGATAGAGCGAAAGCAATATGGAATTTGATTTTGTGGGCACTGACGAAACTTTAGATCAATTATTATAGATGAAAAAGTCCAGCAAGGGCATTGCTTTTAGTGCTGGAGATTTCTGAACCATCCCAGTGACTTCCATAAGATTTGTTCTTCCTCTTGATTATATTCTTAAGTTTTGTTCATATTAGTGAAATATATGAGTGCAGAATTGGGTCAATTGTCAATAGCAGAGCTATATATGAAGCACTTAACACCCAGATGCCAGAAATTGCCACAAATTCCCATAGCAGATTTGCATTTGAATGACTGGGTTTTGTTAAAAACATTCACCATACAGTGGTCAATGTGCTTGTACATTTACTGTAGGTTGATACAAATGTCTTTTTAGAGTCACTGAATCACTTTGTGAATCACTGAATCATTCATTAGCAAAACAAGTCTTGTAACGCTTTAACTAAATATACAGAAAATACTAAAAAAACTAATGACAGTAAGCTCTCTCTCCATAACAGACAATACACCAAAATAATTCATCTATTTTGTTGACTTTGTCAAGACCGAGATGAAAGAAAAATTCAAAGAAGTTATGTAAAGTTTTCGCCAAGCGACAATCAATGGACCTGCCCTTTTAGGCTGAAGAAAAAAATGTCACCGAATCACAACTCTGAGCTGCTGATGGCCAAAACAAGTCTTATTAGGCCTTATATTATGAACTTTACATTTCATCTTTAAATGACAACAAGCTCTTTTTTTACAAAAGCAATAAAGCAGACCATTTTCTTCCATTTTGTCAACTATAGGGTTAGCCATACCCTACTAAAGTGAGAAACATCAGATGAAAAGCAAAGTTCAATACATTTCGTCCAATTTTGTAAAGTAAGGGCCAATTTAACCGTGACTATAGAATGACAACAAATGTCTTTTATACTGTATCTATTAAGAATCGATCACTGAATCGCTGAATCATTTGATGCCAAAGCTCAATAAGCTTTTACTTCACAAAAGACAATAAAGCTGATTGATTCATTTTCATCCTCTTGCCGACTGGACTCACAGGACTTTAAGTGAGAGCACTAGACATCAGTAAAAAAAGAAGAAATCCTGTGAAATTGTATGTAATTTGCCCAGCAAGGGTCAACGTGACAACCCCAGACAAATATCTTTTTGTAGATACTGAATCACTGAGTCATTTGACCAAAAAGCTCAATAAGCTCTTTGTCCATAAAACACAATGTAGCAAAATGATACATCTACACTACCTGACAAACGTCTTGTCACCTATCCAAGTTTTAGGAACAACAAATAATAACTTGACTTCTAGTTGATCATTTGGTATCAAAAGTGGCTTATATGAAAGGCAAAGACCTTTAGATTACCAAAATAAAATATGATCATGCCTTGATTTTTAATTATTTATTTAGGACAGTAAGGTCGGCCTTTGCTTAACTGAAATAATGTATAGTATAGAATAGTCATGGTGGAGTGGAAAAATAATTCATGTTGTGTATAACTCCCATGAGCTTGAACAACGGAATCCATACATCTCTGCAATGACTCAAATAACTTATTATTAAAGTCATCTGGAATGGCAAGTAAAGCATTCTTGCAGGACTCCCATTCTTGCAGCCTCCTCCTTCATCTTACCCCAGACATGCTCAATAATGTTCATGTCTGCTGACTGGGCTGGCACCTTGTCAGGAGCACCTTGACCTTCTTTGCTTTTAGGAACTTTAATGTGGAGGCTGAAGTGTGAGAAGGAGCGCTATCCTGCTGAAGAACTTGCCCTTTCCTGTGGTTTGTAAAGTAATGGGCAGCACAAATGTCTTGATACCTCAGGCTGTTGATGTTGCCATCCACTCTGCTGATCTCTCACACACTCCCATACTGAATGTAACTCAAAACCAGATTTTTTCATCACCAAACTTGACTGATTCCTGTGAGAATCTTGGACCCATGTGGGTTGTAGTAGTTCTTCTGCAGTATTTCAGATGGTTGGGATGCAGTTCAGCAGATGATTTATTTCAAAAATCTACCTTCTGCCACTTTTCCAAATAATCAACTAGAAGTCAAGATATTATGTGTTGCTATTACAACTAGGATCGACGACAAGACTTTTGTCAGGTAGTGTACTGTCACTCTTGCATTTCAAAAACAAGAGAAATAAGTAAAAATGCTAAATTCTGTGAAATTTGACCAACAATGGTCAATGTAACCACACTTTTAGTCTTGAACAAAAGTCTTTTTACAGTATCTATAATGAGTTATAGAATCAATCATGGAACCCCGGAGTTAATAAGTCTCTCTAAATTCTGAATGCTTCCAAAACTGCTAAAAAAAACGAAGAAATAGCTTTTAAGCCTAATCAGCTCTTTCTTCACAAAAGACTATGAAGTAGATGGATTCGTTTTTCATCCATTTTGTGGACTAGACTCACTTATCCACTTTACAAGCAAAGACGAAACAAAGAGAAAGAAATCCAGGATAATTTTGCCAAGAAATGGTCGATGTGAGCACTCGAGACAAATGTCTTTTTGTTTATTTTGAGTCACTGAATCAGTCATTGAATCACTGAGTCATTTGAGGGAAAAGGTCAATGAGCTCTTTCTCCACATAAGATTGGAAATTGCGTAAGGAGATTGATTTGTTTTTCCTCTATTTTTCGACAAGAATAAGCCCAAAAATGCACAGAATTGGTCAATATGACCTCTTTAGGATGAAAGAAATGTGCTTTTGTCTATAATGAAACACTGCGTCACCTGAACCAAAATCTCAATAACAGATATTTTTTTTCTCCACAAAAGACAAAAAACACATTGCTATATTTTTCCAATACATATTGCAAGAGCACTTCAGTACAAAAAACCCTTTACAAACTGTTAAAGTGCAATGAAGATTTGCTCAAAAACACAATCTCATGTATTTAAGATTCATTCACAGTTGTTCAGATGTTGTCCTAAACAAACAACATCAGAAGCACATCAAAAACACACCCCAGCTGACAAAGAACATTTAAAAGTCAATAACTGGTGGGTAAATACCTGTTAATCTCATGAAAAGAGCCAATCTCATGCTGAAAGTCCAGCAATTACTCCGACATTAGCTTTTAAGCTGAAGTTAATCTGTCTGATCCTGATATCTCTTAGCCGGAAGGCCTACCTTTTGTCGGATCTCCTCCTCCATTTTGACGGGTGATCCATACTCGGCCACCTGCTTGACTCCTTCACTGGCAAATCCTCCATATTCCCATAACACATAACTTCTAGTGTGAGACGCGCCAATGAGAGCCGACCAATGATTAGCACGTCCTTTGGGACAGAAAAAACAGTTAGTTTATGCAAATAACAGTAGATAGAAACACATTTGCTGAATTAATTTTGAAGCACCGAACATTATTCCCAATTGTTACTAATTGCAGCACTGCCTTCTAATGCACCAAATTCATTTTTTTTCTTTTTCTTTTTGTGAATATAGTAAAGATACACTTCACATTAGGGTGGAAACACAACTGTAAACTAGGGCTGAATGATTTTAGGAAACAATCTAATTGCAATATTTTTGAGCAAAATTAGGATCGCAATTTAATATGCATTTTATTCAAAGCTCAAATTTAAAATGTTAAATAATTAAAAATCATATTTTTAAAATAAGTATTTTGCGCCTTAAAAAAACTAAACATTAGCCCCTTTCACACATACAGACATTTACAAGGGATCCTTTGTGAACAGCCCCTTTTTTAAAAATACCAGTAAATTAATTTTGTCAATTTTTCGGAAAGAGAACTTGTAGCATTACCGGTATTTTTACAGACACATTTAGCTGCTAGATGCTGGGTTGCTTCTTAATGCCAACTGTGTAAAGAATTATCAATAAAATGCTTATGGTAAACCACTGTTTGTTAACACTTAAGCTCTGCTTCAGTTGCTTGACCCTTGTGCATGTGAAGTAAAGGAGTGCTGCGGTGAGTGCCAGCACACACTCATTTTATGTACATCTCGAAAGTGTTCCTCCATATGTTTTATTTATCGAAGTTGTTCACAATACTTCTCCATCTACAGAATTTGTAATGTCGTCAAATGTGTAGACATTTAGCTGTGGTTCGAGCTCTTGTCTTTGGATGTTTCCAGGACAAAGCAGCTGCATGAATGCTAAAGCTTTAAATAAAAGTGAAATCATTAACAAAAGCCTGACCTCTTCTATGTTTACAAATACGCAGCCGTTTAGAGGTCATTTCTGGTTATTGATGTCAGAATTTACTGGTATTTTGGAATGGATGTGTTTCCATTACATTCCGGAACATCCTTGTCTGTGTGAACAGTGCTTTTTTGAATCCACCAGTAAAGTCGTTCCGGTAATTTTCTGGATATGTATTGGTATCACGTTGTGAAAGGGGCTAATGACTCAATTACAGTTTAATTTACGGTTTTATCAGTTAAAATGTTTAACAGTTCACTCAATTAGTCACCTAAATATTTTTTAACAAAAACTTAAAACAGTGAAATTGCAGCCTTTGTGGCTTAAAATTTGCACTTTAAACACAAAATGTACAAAATAGATACACAAAAGTTTACTCAACTTAAAATTGTAAGTAGGCCTGTCACAATAATCAATATATTGACTTATCACATGGCGTGACCTCAGTTATATTTGGTGATGCAATATATATCACCCATCCATAAAAACAATTCTAGCAACATTTTAGCAGATTGTACAACCTATAGGAAGTGTCAGTATGGTAAAAAAAAAAAAACACTATAGTATTTACTATAAATTATGAAGTATATTTTCATATGGGTGCCTGAAAACTGAAAATCTGGTAGAAGATATCACAGCCTCTGCACTTTTTTGTTGACATTTATTATTATTTATTCGCTTAGGAATTTGTTCAGATTCTGATTCCAATGTTATTTTTAAAATAACTATAAATTAATTAAATATTCTTAAGAATAAAATATTATGTGTGCTTTGGAAGAGTGCACTTGCATTATGAGGCTATTATATTGTCATTCTGGCATTATATAATGAGTGACAAAAAATGTGCTTATTATTTATTATCGCAATTAATTGTGCTACAATATATCGTAAAACAAAAAATAGATATCGTGACAGGCCTAATTGTAAGGCAAAGCATTTTGAGTTGACTCAACTTAAATCAAGTCGAGTGCAGTACTTGGGTTGGCTTTTTTTTTGTATATTATTGCAAATGCATTTGATTGCTTAGCCCTATAAACTATCAGTTAACTGCACTTCTAAAGTAACTTGTTTTGTGTGTGTGTGTGTTGCCCTTCTACTCTTGTCTCTCTACTGTAATTCATCAACGTCTGTTTCCAGAGACCTATTAACTAGCAGCTGTGTGACAACATCCGCGCGGCTTCTCTTATCTCACAAAGTATCGTGGCCCCGGCAGTCGTCTTGCCTGCTTGCCAGACAGTAAATAACAGATTGGATCATTGCCGCCACACACATAGGTAACGAAGCAGCTCTCCTGCTGACTGCTATATTAGCAAACCAGCCCTGAGAGCTAAAGCTGTTGGAAAGAAATATTGCTGCCCACCTCTGCCTATGTTCCTACTCTTTCTGCAATGCATTTTGTTTCTTACTGTATGAAAGCAAAATATGTGTTTTCACAGCTCTTTCACAGCTCTTAAACTTTTTTTTTGTTAGTCTATACATCAAGTGTGTATAAAGATTGTCAAATAGACATTTCAGGGTTTTTTTTTCAAACGGCATCAAAACATGCAAACTTTGATGCAAATCTGCCATATTTCAATAGGATAGCAAATTTCAAATGTTAAAAAAAGAATTAATGTTTGAGCAAAATTTGATTTGATAATGTTAATAACATTTATAACAGAATAACAATATAATTATCATTTATTTTTATTATTAGTATAACAGAGGCTATGCTGGTAAACCTCACTCCTCTGACCTCAAAAGGTGCTCTAGCGACAGATGTTCGAGGCTTTAGCCTTCTTGTAAGAGCAACCGACTTCCATACAAAGAATCGCTGGTTTAATCGCAGCTCAAAATGGGATGGGTGCAATAGAACTGGTGGGTTACATGTGGGGGCTCGTCCAGGATGGGAGTGAGGTTTTGGGGGTGAGTATAACAGAGGCCAGCTAGTGAAGCGCTATAAAGGTAAACTTTACTCCTCTGACCTCAAAAGGTGCTCTAGCAACAGATTCTAGAGGCCATGGTCTTTGCCCTCCTTGTTAAAGCAACTGACTTCCATACAAAAAATTGCTGGTTTGATTCCAGCTCAGAACAGGATAGGTGCAATAGGACTGGTGGGTTACACGTGGGGGCTTGTCCGGGATAGGAGTGAGGTTTAGGAGGGCGAGTATAAAAGACGCCAACTAGCGAAGTTCTATACAGGTAATCCTCACTCCTCTGACCTCAAAAGGTCCTCTAACAACAGATGTAAGAGGCCACGGGTTTAGCCTCCTTGTGAGAGCAACCAACTTTCATACAAAGAATCACCAGTTTGATCCCAGCTCAGAACGAGATGAGGGCAGTAGGACCAGTGTGTTACATTATTTTAGGTGGTTATTTTTATTTCTGTTTATTTATGATTTTGTCATCTTTTTGAGTTCCACCTGGCCTCGATATATTTTATTTTTAGTTATATTTTTGCCACTTCAACTTACAACTAATTGAAACATTAATATAATTTTTTTCTATTTTTTAGTCCCTATTACTAGTTTTGTCCTTTTTGTTTTGAAAATAACATATTTTGGAATTTTTTTCAGATTTAGTTTTGAAACACTTGCTGAAATATTAGTATTTATTTTCATGATTTATATTGGTATTAATACTTTGCTTAATTTATTATTGTTTCAATTTTAATAAAACAAACGTATTTTAACTTAAATAACAATTAAAAAGAATGCCTTGAAAACAAACTGAAATAAAATATCTGAATAATAAAAAAAATATTTATTCAATTTTCATTTTAGTTAACAACAGCAACAACAACAAAGTTTGATTTATAGTTAAATTCTATAACAATAATTTCCAAACAAATGTTATACACCTCACAAACAAACAAACAAACAAACAAACAAACAAACAAACAAACAAACTAATATTTATAATCCTAAAATATTCATTTCATCAACTACACAAGCTCACAACACTAACAAACAAACTAATATTTATGATCCTAAATATTCATATCATTAACTACACAAGCTAAAATATCACAAAGACCTTGTTCTTACTTGGGTAATCTTTGGGATGGAGCTTCTCCGACCAGTTTCCATAGAAAGTCACTCTATACTTGGCTGTTCCACAAGCACAACACTCTTGAGCAGGTTTTTCAGTAATCGCAACAGGATCTATAAAGCAAACAGACATTCAGGTAGTAGTGCTTTCACTTTATTAGTACAGTGCTCATTTAAGCTTTCTATTTTTCTTTCTTTTGGTGGTGGCAATCTTGCTATCTCCTTTTCTTCAACCATGAGAGTTTTGCCACCTTTTTTCTATACACACATGCACTTATATAATCCACCAAACATGCATAGACACAATCATCATCAATGCATATATTATGTGGAAACATAAAAGCAGATGCCAGAAGGGAAAACAACAGATTTATAGATGTAAAAAAATGCTATCACAGGGATGTGCATGAGAAGCTTTAAAATTACCTTTCTCGCACAATCTTTTGGTAAGCGAGCCCTCGTCTTGGAAGAAAATGATTCTTCGCTGCACAACACTGGCCCTGTAATGAAGACATTACAATGTTCATCCAACTATTGTTGCCTTTTATCTTTCATATGTAGTTGGGAGAAACTGTGCTTACTGTACCACCGCTATTGCCTTCACAACTGTAGTTTAGTGGGAAGAGAAGATGCATCTTTGAACAGTGCATTGTTACATTTGCATAATGATACTATCTAAGAGCGTATTTTCAGCTTGGCTTTTGAAATGAAGCCACATAAGCCCTATTTACAGCTGGTGTTAAAATGCCTTTTGGTCGACCGGATGACAAATGGAGAAGGGAGACACATCTTAAAGGGATAGTTCAAACCAAAAATGAAAATCTGTCTTATTTATCCTCCACTTGTTACAAACCAGAGTTTCTATATTCTGTTGAACACAAAGAAAGATAATAAAAGAATTACTGTATATATTATTTTTTATTCCTACTATGTAACTAGCTGCCCCCCCCCCCCCCCCCCCCCCAGACATTCTGTAGATTATCTTATTTTATGTTCAGCATAAGGAATAAGTTCAGTTTAAACCACATAAGGATACAGTAAATGGCTTTGGAAAAGTTTAGAAATTCTCCAGAAAGAATTTTGTATGCTCATTTATAACCAAAGGAATTGCATCTAAAATGCAAAGCTAGTGTTTGAATATGTTTTTAGAACAATCTGTAATATTAATGAACTTATGTGGAATATTAATGAGCTTATCTGGAATAAACACATGTAAAAATTGGTACTTCATTTTTACCAAATCATATATTCATTTTTAGCAAATAGGATTGATGTCTTTTTAACTGGTGGAGAGATTTATTTTAGCTAGAAGGAGTGAGTGAGCAATCTTTAAGCCACCAGAGTAAGCTAGTTGTGTTATGGATGAAATATAGGCTTAATTATAATTACTGTATACTCCACAAAATGTACCAACAGAGTTATATTTAGGGACCGAGCACCTAGGGTGCTTAGGCCCTATTGGAATTGCTCCGTTACTACTACTTCTTCTTTTCAAGAATGAATCACATTTTTGAGTATCTAAACATGCTCAAAAACTCACAAAACTTTGCACATGCGCCAGAAGCGGTAAAAATGTACGTTTGTTAAAGGTGTCAGAATAGGGTGTGGAAAAATAGCTTGACAGCTCTACCTATGCACTTTTGACACAATAGGCCCCGAGCTACGATTCATGCACAAGTACAAAGTTTGGCACATACACCGAACATGCCAATACCTGCAAGAAAGTCTCTTGGATTGAAATCTCAAACCCAACAGGAAGTCAGATTTTTTTTTTCCTCTACAGAAAAAGTGCAGTTTTTGCTATTTCTAATCATTGCATTTTAACAAACTCCTAGGGATTTTATCAGATCAACACTGAAGTTGGTTATTGTCATCTAAAGGCCTTGGCGATGTTGAATTAGGAAGATCTAGAGTTTTCCGTGTTCGTGACGCCCTCACAAACTTTGTTGCTTCGCCATGAATAAGGAAGTTGTTATAAATCAAGCATGCATTGTCCGATCTGCCTAAAAGTCTTGACCTGAACACGTTCACATGCCAATATCCATTTATAGTTATAGCGCCACCTGCTCACAACAGAAAATGACATGAAGTTTGGCATGAATATGTGATTTTCTCTGTTTTTTAATATACAGTTGAAGTCAGAATTAGCCCCCTGAATTGTTAGCCCCCCTGTTTATTTTTCCCCTTAATTTCTGTTTAACTCAGAAAATATTTTTTTAACACATTTCTAAACATAATAGTTTAATAAGTAATTTCTAATAACTGATTTATTTTATCTTTGCCATGATGACAGTAAATAATATTTGACTAGATATTTTTCAAGACATTTCTATACAGCTTAATGTGACATTTAAAGGCTTAACTAGGTTAATTAGGTTAACTAGGCAGGTTAGGGTAATTAGGAAAGTTATTGTATAACGATGGTTTGTTTTGTAGTCTATCAAAAATATATAGCTTAAAGGGGCTAATAATTTTGACCTTAAAAAGGTTTTTAAAAAATAAAAAAATGCTTTTATTCTTGATGAAATACAACAAATAAGGCTTTCTTTAGAAGAAAAAATAATATCAGATATACTGTGAAAATGTTTTTGCTCTGTTAAATATCATTTGGAAAAAATGAAAAAAATAATAATTCAAAGGGGAAATGGGACTGACTTCAACAGTATATCAGCTTAAATTATTATTGTCCACTGTTTTCTGTCATCCTAAGGCCACTGGGTGGTGGTGAGCCCAGGTGCGAGGTCCCTTTCATCGCTGCTTGCAACTTTATTTAGAGTTGTATTTTGAAGCTTTAATGTACAGTAGTCCACATTTGAAGTGGATCACCAGCTTTCATCAAAGTTGTCCTCAAACTACAGAACAACACCCGTTCTTGTCCAAGGACAATTTTGAAAAACTTTTTTGATATTTCATTCACTTCGAATGTTGACTACTGTATATAAAAACACACACATATATATATATATGTAACGGAGGCCAACTAGTGCCATGGTCTTTAGCCTCCTTCTAAAAGCATCTGACTCACGTGCAAAGAATCGCCGGTTCGATCCCAGCGAGTGGGTGGTGTAGGACCGATGGGTTACATATACATGAATTAATATCTGCATAAACAGATGATCAAGTGTATGGTTCAAGTGTATTCATATCCCTTTAGTCAAAAGAAAACACAGAAAAAAAATTGTGAAATGACACATGCACTGAACACATGCACTGAAATTGTTTATATGTGTTTCTTATCTCATCACAAACACACTCAGAAAATTTCACAATATACATGTTAAACTACCAAAAGATACATTTAAACAGACCCTATGCCTGTTAGATGCCACATTCTGACATGCTGTGGCTTGCTAAGAATGGCTCTTAAAGCCCTTAAAGGTGTGTGAGTAAACACACACTGGTGCTACCATTCGCCATCTGTCCAGATGTATAGAAAGCAATGTAAAGATGCAACACAGTGGGCTTTAGTCTACCTACTTCTCTTATTTTCAAAATAAGAGTCCCACATACATAGTAAGTTTAATGTAAGCTTAGATCATTTAAAAATAAGGAAAACATGATCACTGTGGTAATCTCACTAGGAAATGTTGTGGTCAATCAAACACTGCCTGGGCTGTGCATAATAATGATCCTATGTGCAATGTAACAGTCTCTGTTTTGTTCCGATTGATTTGGTTTTCACTTGGATTTTACACTCACAAGATGTACATGATAAGGAAACAATGGTGCTTGAGGCTCATAATATGTTAATGTACGGAACTCTTGTTATTTAGCTATGCCAAAGTATATCCAGGAAGTGTAAACAAGCCCACCAAAAGTGATGTCAATGTGTTTGCCAAGGGTCTAAAAAAGCACAAATATATTCAATATCATGAGGGGCGATGAAGGTTTGAAGCTCCTTTAAACCTACTCCTGATGGAGAACCCAGGAGACCGAACAACATTTGGCTTAGATCGACCCATGTGGAATATCAATGGTGAGTCCCGGTACTGTCATCCCTCTAGAGTCTATTGCTGCTGTCAGTCAAAGATGTGACATGCGGTATATCTGTCCATAATGCTATGCCCTCCTGAGAATAATCCTACATGTTTTATGTGGGTGGCTTACAAGAGAATCTGGGCCTTATAAAACTCTGGTATTCGCAATGTGATAGATTCTTGGCACACTTGGGCTAAGCCAAGCATAATTTTTCAGAAAACGACACAGTAAAGAAGTGTGATTGCTGTGACTTTTCAAGGACCTTTCTGACACACACAAAAAGTTAGGTTAGGAGAAAAATCAAATAAAACAAGATCATTTAATAATTCAGTAGCACAATAATCTTCTTCAAGGATTTTTTTACAAAAAACAATGCAATTTTTTTAGCTAACAGCAAAATAAGATAGAGTGAAATCAAGTCAAGATGTATTAAAACTAATAAATGTTTAATATTTTAAATACATGTTTGCAGGTCTGTATGAAGTGTGGTGTGAAGTAGCATCTTGGATTGAGTAGCTTTTGCCTTCTCATTTTGAAAATGCTTCTCATACAGATGTTACAATATTTCTCACAAATGATCCCCATTTAGTCAAATATGCATGAACATAACCTTACATTTTAGTAGTTTATATGAAGATGATAATAATATTGTTTTCAAAAAACATTCACTTCTGAATTCTTTTCAAAATTGAGCATTTTCAGGCCCCAAAATTGCTTATAGTTTTCACGTTTTAAATGTAAAATACTGTCATAGTATAAAATTATACTATTTATCTAGTATATTTAGAAAAGGATTTGCACGTAGGCTGTCATGATAAATAATTTTTATAGATATAGTTTTTACAAAAATGTATCAAGTGATGCTATTGTCATTTAAAGACCGTTTTGTCACTGATTATAATGATTACACAACAGCAAAATAATGCAAAAACAATAGGCAATAAATTTCAAGGGACAAATCATCCTGGCCAAATCTGCCCACTGGCCTTCATCCATCATGGCCACCTAAACATCCCCATATTCAATTGGCTGCATCACTGTCTCCTCTCCACCAATCAGCTGGTGTGTGGTGTGCGGTCTGGCGCAAAATGGCTGCCGTCGCGTCATCCAGGTGGATGCTGCACACTGGTAGTGGATGAGGAGATCCCCCCCCACTATGTAAAGCGCTTTGAGTGCCCAGAAAAGCACTATATAAATGTAAGGAATTATTATTATTATTATTATTATTACAAATATTTTCATTCTTAACCCTTTCAAGTTTTAAATTCACTTATGGACCGCCTGCATGACTTTATATAACGTGTTTTTTTTTTTAAATGTATTGCTTAAAAGTTTCTGTGGCAATGTTTCAGGATTATTATGTGACACACCAGACACACACATTAATATGTGGCGACAGCACTACCTACTGTGCCACTGCGTCGCCAAAAACTACATATACATGGGTCGCTGATTCGAGCCTCGGCTGGGTCAGTTAGTGTTTACATGTTCTCCCTGCGTTCGCGTGGGTTTTCTCCGGGTG